TTTTTGTGAGGGGAAAATCATCAAATGACTTCTCCCGCCCAGGGCCGGGTGGGAGGGAGTGTCAGACTCTTACTTACCCCGCAACCCCGGCTGAACATCAGCCCTATAGGGCCCCGTCTGTGAGTCACCATCAGATACATTAAATTTGTTGTGTCTTTATAAACCTATATCCGTGGGGTGGCTGGCAGTGGTTGGATGAGAAACGTTCACCTCGAGCGGAGACAGACTGATGATGATGACGAAGATAATGATGTAACCTCTCTCTCACGACGAAATTCAACGCAATAGTTGTTTCACGGCGGTTTTCTGTGAGGTATTGCTATCATTCCAGCGGGCCAGTATTTTCCTGCCGAATCATGGTTCTCCTCACATGTACATATTTTTTTTATTTCTATAGACGGCAATTAATTAAGAGAAATATGTTAAAAAAATATTGTGTTTCGCCGTGTGAGTGAGGTTACCGGAGGCCCAATCCTTCCCCTCCCCCAATCCCTCCTCAATCCCTAAATCTCCAAATCCCTAATAGGTCGGCAACGCACTCGTAACTACTCCGTTGCGAGTGTCCATGGGCGGCGCTGATTGCTTACCATCAGGTAATCCGACAGCTCCTTTGCCGAGCAATTACATAAAAAAAATAGTCTTACTTTCTAACAATTTAAAAAGTCACTGGTTATTTTGTTGTAATACAAACATCGAGCGATAATGATCCTAATAGCAGGATAGTTAGATCCCAGTATCTATTTAAATAAAAATTTGGAAACAAAAAAGGCTTTATCTGCATAAAACCTAAGCACATTTTCAATTTCAATTTTGTTTTATTAAAATGACACTTTTATTGCTTTTTGAATCCCTACATCGTGTTGAACATAAGCCGAAAATATTCGGGCTCAATAGGAAATCTCAATTTACGTAAAACAAAAGAAGATAAAGTTATCACGACGAAGTTCCTGAAATTTTTTCCCCGCAGTCGAAGTTGTAGGGAAAATGCGGCTCAGTCGAGGCATTAGATCGATTGAAATAAGAGCCCGCAACCTTAATCCCATGAAATTCAGCGAGTCTGAAGACCTTTCGATGTCTTCGGTTTAAACCCGACAAGTAAGTCTCGACATTTTTATGACTTCATCGGAAAATATAACATAAATTATGGATATTAGTAGAATGACAGTCAATTTTAATTCAGCTTTTTGTACGAGTTTAAATAGCTACTTTAATCTTAAAAATTTCGATACATAAATGAAGACTAATTTGAAAAAAACATAAAAAAATATTGAAATTCAATTTGAAAAGGACCGTCAGAGCAGTTAGTGACTCAGCAGACAGCAGTACCTCGTATATGCTATGACTTTTTTATTTGCGTCGGGAAAATCATCCAATCACTTCTGCCCAAATGGGAGGGAGTGTCAGACTCTTATTGACTAAAACCTCCTTTCCTTCTCCCTCTCCGAACCAAGCCGGGCCTTGTAGCCATGCACTAACGACCCTGGCTGGACATCGGCTCTAATGGACCCAATCTGTGGTGGTCTGATGGCAGGCGACTCCACAGCGAGGGTATCAAAGACGATCAAATCGTTCTTCGTAAAAAGTTTAACATAAATTTAAAAAAAAATTAAGCATTTTTTACTTTAGTTTGCTGTCCCAAGATTTTATGAAGCAATAAACATTTTACTGTACCTAGACAAGGTACCGAAAACTCTAAGTTTATTGCTGATTTTACTATCAACTTATTTATAGGCAGCAAGTTCAAAAAACCGCAAGCGGCTTAAATATTAGTAGTAGGTATTGTAAAATATTGTCTTGAAATGCCTGACCGTATAGAGCAAGTATTTACTTTCCTAGGTAAAGTTTAAGGCGGGGCGTGACTAACGCTGGCTGGCGAGGCTGCCGGCTGCCGGCTGTCGAGACGATGTCGTGGAAGCGAAGCACGTCTCCAATCCTCTTTAGTGCTGCTAAAGTACTTGGCCCACAATGAAATGCAACGGTGAGCTTCAACATTACGTAAACGTATGTGATGGGACCGAGAGCATTTTACCAAAGAGAACCATCTCTTGACGAACACATGCAATATATTTGAAATTCTCTAGGGAATCTATTAGTAGATACCATTTACAGTGCACCTTTTTAAACTGCATTTTATTAAAATATATGTTTTCTTTGTATGATCGAAAGACTTAAGTAGATATTTGGTCGTCCTAGTCTATGGTTTGGCAGCCACTTGATAAACCAACGACTACTTGCTGATCAAATACTAGAAATCAGATAATAGAAACATCAGTAGTAGTAGTTATAGTTCCATTCCAAATGTTCCAAAATTAATTTGTATCGGGAAACAATTCTGTTTAATATGAAAATAATACCTACCAACTGCTGCTCAGCGGTATGGCGACGTATTTTCAAGTGCTATTATTATACGGATCCGATTCCCGTGCACAATGCCACATTGGTTGCAGACAAGGGAATTGAAGAGACGATATTGGAAATGCAATTCGATACAACAATGATATGTTCACATAAAACCCTATTCCCTGTGTGAGTCTGAAGAGAAATGGAGTGTTCGTTCGAGACCGTCGGTCGGACAGATCAATGTGATGTGGTGCAAACTCCAAAGCAATCCAAATGAGCCCGTCTAGACTGCGGGTCCTAGATCGCAGTTTCGTAGCTTAATTAATAAAGTCAAACGGATCGGACCGATATGTTCGACGACGGCGTCGACAGCGCGACTATTTACCGCAAACCTCTTCACTCGCCAATTTAATTGCTGACGCACGATCTTTGATTTTTATTTATTACTTACCTAGATAAAAAAAATATGATGTTTTAAGTTTATCAAATAAAGAGCACTGTACAGTAGATAATGTAATTTCTCATCTGTGTTTTAAGAGACATGAGTAGGTAGGTACGCGCTTACTTTTAAAAAAGAGGTCGTGACCCTTGGACTGAAGTTCAAAGCACCTGTTTTGACCTTCTTTTATAAAAAACTTGAATGAGATTTATAAGTAGAACGTGGCCACACATACCTATATACATTCTGTTAGCTATAAAATTTGGACATGAACAAAAGTTGAAGTGATTTGTTTTATTTGTAATTAAACGTAGGTTTCATATTTAAAGTACGTACCAACTTATTCGCTGTCTACCAATAATTTAAACACCAAAACCACAGTATAATATACCAAAACCTACTTAAAATTTTACTAGATATCTATTGGTATTTTGTTGTGTATGTAAGTATTTACTTTCCACCTAAGAAAATCAAACTATTATATTTGTCTTTTAAGATGTTGACTTACATAATTATCTAAATCTGAGTATGGTATAAATAAACAGATAAGTAATATTTAGATACCTGTTAGGTAGGTGGATACTAAATATGTGTAATTAAATACAATATCTTAGTCTTTGCTAAAACTAAAAATAAACGTGTTAACCTACGTATGTTTATATATATCTCATCGATCGGTCGCCAATAAAGGATAAATATCACTCAGGTTCTTATTTTAGGATATCCTCACAGTCAACACGAACTACTTATAACGACTTATATTAACGTAAATTAGAAGCTATTATTGTTTATGTGGTTATTTTGGGCCTGCGCCATTTATGAATGGAGGGAGGCCGACAGCCGGCAGGTCTGCGGTTGCCTAGCAACGCGTCCCTCTCCGAGTCTCCGGTTGACCCTGAGGTCGCATATCCCGATATATTCCCCTGTGCTAACATGTTGCCAAATTTTTTGCTCGATAAATTCAACTTTGTTAGCAAGATATATTTTGTACGTTTTTATTTAAGATCAAAAAGGTCAAGACTTGTTATGTTGGAGACCACAGAACTGGACGCTTGTTTTAGGCATTGCACGTTTAATTGAGTATGTACCTCAAGGTGTAGGTGCATATCTGTAAGTAGATCATGTTAATTTGTAAAAGAGTTCTTATATCATTCTTTTTAGTTAAAATCTCGAAGTAAAATAAAATGTTTATGTTGTCGTTAGTCCTAGTAGGTACCTACCTACACCTATAAAACAGACGATGCGATACTGTGTAACTACAGTTGCAAATATTAACTTTACTTTTTTTATTAAATAATGATAACCTAGAACTATATTAGCTGATATAAGTGATTATAATAATAAACAATAATTATAGGTAAAACGTAACCAGAACCATCATCATACTAACGCCATCTGTTGACCTTGTAATGACAACTAACATTTAAAAGTTTGTCAGAGAATCACTAGATGTCGTATACTGTGTTTTGCCCATATCTACCCTAGCATTGAAAGTAAAATAAAATATCAGTTCGATATCCAAAACCATCATAGTTTTGTTGATTTTTTAGATAACTGACTGCATTTTTATTTAATTTATATCACAGAATAGTTGGTCAACACATTCTAGTCCGGATTTTTTTAGTTTGTGAAAAAGTGCACAATTCTGTACCTAGATGTCGCTGTAAATAACATGTACAAACTGCTTAAATTGGTACTCAAGGTGTTAAATCAAACAGTTCACTCTTATTTTGATGTATTTTTTCGGATATTAATGAAGAATCTTGTAAATTTTACATTCTAATTATTGTCTCAATAAAAACTAGGTACTAATTCATAGTGATCACAAAATTTGCCATCTCAGTCATGTGACGAGGTGGCCGAGTGGTTAAGGCGTTGGACTGCTAATCCAATGTGCTCTGCACGCGTGGGTTCGAATCCCATCCTCGTCGATTATTTTTGTTGCAGTTATCCAGTTTTGTTTCTTTTTATTCATATTTTTTTGTTAAAATAATAAAAGTATTTGTTTGATTTCAAAGCAATAGTGAAGTCTTGGTTATAATATTCGTGTATTGGAAATTATTTTATTAGCTCAGGTGCAAGTCCCGTCTATAATCAGGTATTATCTTTGTAATCGCTAGCGAAAACTGATATCAGCATCGTATGGCTATCTATTATCATTACGAATTTATCTAGACCTGTTTTCATTATCTTATCAGGTACCTGGCACCCTTTATTTTACAAGTTGCTAGTGTTGGGCGCGCCTCAACTAGGCAAGGTCTGTGTGCCGTGTTGTAGTGAAATTAATTAACTCGTTTCTCATAGTTTTGTCCTTAGTGGTGTCTATTTGGACATGTGATATTTTGCCAAACTGTTACATAAATATTGTGTTGAGTTCATAGAAGGATTTGGGGCGCTCACACGGTGATTTTATTCGAATGTAAGTCGTTATCTTTGTTCTAAATTGAGAATATGATGTTTTTGAAGGTTTCAGTGTAAATAGGACAAGATTATCGTGGCCGAAAATGTTATCACATTTTAATAATCGATCGTAGTAATAGTGAGAACGTGGCAATTAGTAAAGTATTTGAAAAGTTTTTCCTCTCTGTACTTATTTTGTTCGGTGTTTCGTGTGACGCGAACACTCCCTAAGCAAATTGGTCATTATCTCACCTACCTACCGACAGATTACAGAGTTGTAACTGATTATGGACTGTATGAAACTTGTAAAACTATGAACTATCTATTGTATTATTAATTACCTATTAAAAATTTTCGTGAAATAAACTTACTTATAGTGTCGTTCAACTCATTGAGCTCACAACCGCGACTTAATTTCCTGCATTACAAAGGCCACATGAAGGTGCCATTTGATAAATAACAAAGTCAAGACTTATAAAGCTGTTGATCATATTATGACATCTAGATTTGATAACAGAATAAAAACAGGCACCTACCTATGCTTAAAAAACTAATAGTTCTCTATACTAATAACCATAACTACAAATTAAAGGACAGATATTAGGCATATATCTATTAACTAGGCAGTTCTCAGTAAACTATTAAGTATGTACAACAAATTTTATCGTTAACAGTACCTACCAAAGTACTTCAGAAATAATTCATATGTGATTCATGAAAATGCGCCCTATCAGTGTCCACATTATATAGCTGCCGTTATCAAAAGTAGAGCGAACAAACAAATACCTAGGTACAATTGGGCAACCTTCTAATTTTGATTGCATTTTCTGATAACAATAACCTAAAGGTATACGTTTATAGTTGGTACTCATTAACAATTATATCATACACAGAAAGAAAAAGTGATTATAAATTCATTTGACCCAGAGCTATAGCCGAAATGACTTACAAAGCATCTTAACATACATTAAAACTTCATAATAACGTTAACTCACCCTTCTCCTAAAGGCACTTATACTCTGGTGAAACGGCCACCTCTATTAAAGTTCTTGAAAAACATATGTGTGGCACAGAGTTCATACAAAAATTATGTTCTATATTCAAATTATTCTAATAACAGGTCGTAAGGGCGCTACATAAGTATCCCATGGTGCCATAGCTATCTAGACTGTCTTTTACTTCTTGTCTATTTTTTTAATTAATACAAAATACATTATATCTCCATGTCTTAATACATATTACAGTAGAAAAAGATACTTGTTTCGCTGGACCTAAAATAATATGACCTAGATAGAATAATATGATAATGTCCTAAACTTCTGCCAATACACTTGGATCTAGTCATTTAGCGTAAATCTTAAGAACGCTAATGAAGTCAGCTTTTACTCTCAAAACAGCCTTATGAGACATATCTGAATAATTCCAATGGAAACCTAACTTGAGTTAAACTCCCTTTCTCGAAATTCTAAAATTACCCCTAATAGAAAATAAAAGATGAAACGTTTTACCACACTAGGATTTTCTCGTGTGTCGTGGTTGTTTTACAAACCTAAACCACACCGGCACCGGGCACCCAGATCAGAAACCACAATTTGTGGATCACAAAGTGTCGCAACCGTGAGGTGTTGCACAGCAGCTAGTTATACAGCCACTGTGCCAACCGTACAGTCAAAGAAAAAAATTGCCCTACCTAAGACGAGAAGGAGTATACCATCTGCGTCAGACTCTTACTAATTAGAAACCTCTCCGTTCCTTCTCTTCCGAGGCAGGTGGTACCTTGTTGAGCTGACCCCCGCAAGCCCGGTTCTCAGTTAAACTTATTAGCGACGCCTGATGGTTAAAATACACTAATGAACCATTAATTAGTTAGAATGATTTTAGTAGAAATTCAGTAGTTTCTTATTTACGGTACTTACTTTCGTATACCTTTTTGAGAAGGGAAAGTCATCAAATGAGTTCTCTCGCCCCGAGTAAGGCGAGATGGAGCGCCAGACTCTTACTGCTTAAAACTCCCCGGTCCTTCGCTTACTCCAAGCCAAGGCTGCGCATCAGCAAGGATGCTAAACATCTTAGGCCCCATTTGTGATAGTGTAGGTACAAAGTTTTAATTACGCCTTTACGTACCTATTGCATAATAGGTACGTCTATGTTTATATTTATGGGTTATTATTATTCATATTATCACACCTCTTTTCTATACTAATATTATAAAGAGCTAAAAGTTTGTATGTAGGGGGTAATCTTTGGAACCGTTGGTCGGCTTGCCAAAATTCTTTCACTAATAGATAGCTACAATGTTCCTGAATGCTATAGGGTGAAACCGCGCGAGTGTTAGCTACACTCTCACTAATAAAGTAACTTTTTAACTATGGACCTTCGTAAAATATTGGATGATTTGATAATAACAACATCAAAATCTCCATTTTAGTACCAGAGAAACAGCTAGCTTAAATTCCTACGAGAAAGCTATGCTAGTCAGTACTAAGCTAATTAAAAGTACCGACCTAAACCGGAAACGGAAGAAATTCCGATGAATCATAATAGTTTGACAGAAGACGCTGATTATTATGAGCGATAGGCCACAATTTCTAGATCTGATTCACGTTATAACTGAAGTGGCAGTAACAATGAAAATAGAATTTAATTTCCGCGACCGCTCCCATTGTGCTGATAAAATATGTACATTGTGAAATATTTCAACGAAATCGTCATCGACGTTTTTTTATCTTAATCTTGTTATTCACTAAGTATATCTTCAACACAAATGTTACACCCGCATTAATGGAGGTTTAACAATTAATCATTATACTAGCTCAGTAGGTACTTAAATCAATAATCTTTGAAAATCGCTCAAAGGTATAAGTAATAAGAAAATATTTCATTCATCATCATCAGCAGGTAAGTGCCCACTACTGAGCAAAGACCTCTTCTCACACGGAGAAGGTTTGAGCATTAATCACCACGCTTGCTCAATGCGGGTTGGCGATTTCAAACTTATAATTAGAAATTATAAGTCCAAGTTTCCTCGCGATGTTTATCTTCACCGCATGTCGTGGTGTCTAAATAATCCTAGAAAGTACATATAACTCGGAAAAAGTCATATTGGTACTTGCCAGGTTTCGAACCCATACCCTGATGCATGAGAAGCGGGCTCCTCAACCTCCGGGCCAATATTTCATTACTACTTAAATAAAACAAAATCCCAATATTATTGATACCATGAAGTTATAGTATGAAGTCATAGTATCCTTCTCTTTATACTATGATAAAGTTATTGTGTTGTTAAAACATTTTTCTTAAAAATATGTTACATGGTAATATCTGAATACTTTTTTTAATTTCAGATACGTATCAAGATGATTTGGTTACCAATATTTTTGGTAGCCGCGGTTGGCTGCGTGGGCGGCCAGGAGACGGCACAGACGAGGGTTGCGAGCTCACTCAGCGAATGTTACAGCAACCCTAACCTCCTGAATAGGAACAACTTGCCACCAGTCACTATGCCAGTCCTCATTGACCTAATACGAAAAATAGAAGATAACACTACCACGTTGAACTTAAGGGAGATGTCAACTCTACTGCTTCACACGTAAGTTTATATTTTATGATTCGGTTCCACTTTCGGCTTAGCACGCTTTTATAAAAGTTATGGTATCCAGGAACTTGACAAACAGCGTTTAAAGTGATAGCTCGACTAAAATGCGCAAATCAAGTAGAATTTATAGAACTCTTTTAGCACTCAGGAACATTGTAGCTATCTATCATTGAAAATCAGACCAGCGCGGCAGCGGTTCCAAATATTACACCCTACACACAAACTTATAAATTTTACTTCTTTATTTTGTTATCCTTATTTGATTTGTGGTTAGCCCTCGTAATACATACGTAGCAGTGTTATGGTGATCAATTTTTTCTTAAGTACTTGGTTTATGCGAAACTATTTAGTTTACTATTTCAAACAGCTTTAATATCCGTCCAAATAAAGTATCATCGAAAATACCTAATTTGCATTTCTTCATTGCAGGTTTCGCCAAGATGGTATCCAATACCATCAGCCAGAGAACTCAGTCACTTCTGCAAATGTCCTGCCATTCGCCCCAACTTTTCACTCGTTCCACCGTAACAGGCTGCTGCTGACCAGGCTTCTTCCTGAGAACAGGCTTACTTTGAGTGCTGACACCTTGCCTGCCGTACTAAAGGTGTGTCATTACGATTATTACCTTTCTACATAGTTTTTAAAATTTTGATAATATTGTTATGGAGACAGCTAGCGTCCTCCTAGATTTTTTTGTAAGGTTTCTTCGGCTAACCGACGTGACTACTCCAATCTCTTATTATTACTAAAAGGTTCTTTTATATATATTCCAGTGTACTCTTCATCACATGCTGTCAACAACTGTAGACACAAGAGTACGAGGGGATGAAAACGGTTGCAGTCAACTATCCCAATATCGAGCTCTAAGAACTGCGAGGTCCGGTCGCTCTATTAGCGACGATGTCGAAATTTTGAAGCCATCTGACTTGTAAGTATTCGACTACTACTATTATACAAAGGAAGCTTATATTAAGGTAGAGCCAACTTTAAAGTTGATATACTTTCTTTCAGACTATCTGCTAACAAGAACGGAAAGATGAGGCAATACGATCCCAATAATGATGTGGAGTACGGTAATGTAGGTGCTGGGGCCATGTCTGAGCGTCAAGTTGCTGAGAGTACTTGTCCTCTGTTGGGCGGTGTGGTGGACACAGCTTGGGGTGCCGTATCTGCAGGAAACGTGATCGCCGGTATTGCAACGGGAGCTCAAATACAAGTAGTCAACATCTTGCAGCTGGTCAGGGACGCCAGTCTTAACTACAGGAATGTTCAGCAAACTGTCACTTCTTTGTTCCCAGCCACATTAGCTGGTGAGTGCCTATTAATGAAAATGTAGAATTATATCTAGCTGGTTCTCTGAATTTTCCTTTTTTTACTATTATAAACCTTTTTCCCCTTGCTACTGGACAATTAATGTCTTATACTACGAAACTTCATAATGCTTTGTTAATTTCTAGGTGATCTGGCCGAAGCCGTCCTCATTCAAGGTACAGAGCGAGGCAGCACTTCTATCGCAATAGGTACTGCTGGTGGCTGGAACAGTACTCAAGCTCGCAGACACTTCATTTTGCAAAACCGCGTTAACGTTGAGATGACTGACCCTGAGATCCGAGGAGGCATTGATGGATTTGTTCTTGGTAGAAATGTTGTGGCACAACTGGGAGTCGCCAGCAATATGAAGCTCTCACAACTCTTGGATATGTACTATTCACCTAGGGTAAGGCTTATTTTATACGATTAACGATATTTTTGTAAACAAGATACGTCTAGTATTTTTTTTTATCTTAATCATCAATTTCTTTAAAACTGGTAAAGGGAACGAGTGATTGTACCTGATAACTTATTGATCATGTGCCCTTACAATATAGTGACGTAGGTCGCGATAATAAAGAATAAAGAAATGACTACTTCTTAAATATGAGTAATTCTTAAGAGCACACAAATGTCACCAAGTAACAATGTATGTTCATACACTCTACAGAATGGTGCTTTGGACCCCAACCTGCGAGCTTGCAACCGCCGTGAATCTTTGAATAATTTTGTAACCAATGACCAATTAGTCTCTGAAACGAATGCCTTCGCAGCCGCCTTGGACACTAACATGCCTCTACGTGGCACTATTATTGGTGGACTTGACCAACTTGTTACAAGTGCTGTCACCAATCTGCGGTCCTACACTAGTGAGTATTCTACTAAAAATAGATGCATTTGGAGCTTTTACTCCAGTTTACGACATTTGTATAGTTGGCAGTTTTTGAATGATAACCCTAATTTCGATTTGAATACGGTGTAATTAATTGAACTCAAAATAGCATGCAAAGGAATAAAGTTTAAAATAAAAAATGATATCAATTTAGATTGAACTTGTGTGTTTTATAGCGGGAAAACTGGTCCAGTCTAAACGTTATGCTTTTTTTTATTTCATCTTCATTCCAGATGATGTCTTGAACGACTTGAACTGTGATGCATCACAATCACAGAGCAACAACTTCCGCCTTAAAACCAATCTATACATTGTGCTGGACGCCTCCTGGCAATACCAGACTGTGATGCCAGCCATTGCTTACTTAGTAGACTCTATTGAAGTTAGCAAATTCGGATCCAGTATCACTCTTCTCAGCGCCTTTGATGGAAGTATCGTTGTCAACACAACATACTCTCCTGCTGATTTCTATGCTGAATACAATGCTTCGAGACATGCAACAAGTAAGATTCTCATTCTTTGATCTACTATATTGACTATTGATTTATGTCGAATTATTTTATCTAATTCATTAATATTTTAATCCATAGTGATGGCGGGTGTTAATTTTGAAACGAGTTTGACAAACATTAAGCTGATGATGCAACAATCGCTTGTTAACGAAACTACGAGGAACTACGTTGGTGGAAACTCTTCAGTGTTGTTGTACCTCATCAATGGCAACTTACCGGTCACTGACCGTGTCTGGGAGCAAGCTAACGAGATAAACAATACTATTCCTGGTAAGTGAAATAACTTATGTGTTGGGATGTTTCATTCATTATCTTCTATTAGGTATTTAAAGGTTTCTCCAAATAAATAAAATCAAACATAAGAAGACGATGGTTATAGCTACGATATCAGAATTATTTAACTAAGTACTGGATTCTGCCAATGGCATAACCCTCAGTACCAGGGTAAAAAGTAGCCTCTGTGTTCTCCCAAACTATAATCTACCAGATTCAGTTGGAAGTTTTAACATAAAAGATTAAAAGACATTTAACCATCTGTACTAACAAACATCCTCTTAACGTGTTCGATTAATTTCTGTAATTTTACTATTGATGCTAATGAATGATTTGCCTTCTAACAACACAGTTTCCTGTCAGCAGTCAAATCCAACACTTAAAAGCCCTGATAGCACCTTAACATCTGAAGCATCACGTCCTATTGAGGTTTCTGATAATTTATAAATCTATTTCAGATCTTAGAGTGTTATACGCGACCACCACCAATCAGTTCGACTCACTATGGCCATTCGTGCGAGACATGTACAGGGACATTTTCACGATCTCCCTCAACTCTGTAGGAACCGGTGTGGATACCGCCATGGCTCCTATATTGCAGCGAATTCAGTCGGGTATGTGATTTTTTCATATGTACCTACAGGTACTGCTGTATAAATTAGTGTTATGGATAGGTTGATTTAAATCATTATGAACCAGTAAGTGGATAAAAGCTTCTTCTCACATGGTTCACATCAATCTTGTTTTCTCAATGTAGACTAATTTCAAATTTAGACTGAAAGTACTGGATTCCTCACGTTTTTATTTCCACGTGTGTCATCGATTTCTAAATAATCTTAGAGAGTATTTATAATTTGAAAACAGTCACATTGCTTTGGTATTTGCTTGGTAATTGCCAGTAATCTGAAAAAGTACTTGCATGGTTTCGAGCCCAATTTACCGTCATGCGGTATAAACGGGACCCTAACCGCGACATTTTTGGGTAGCATTTTTATGGTACCATCCAACATGATGCCAAAGAAATGTCCAAAAAATAAGGATCTGGACATTCTGGTATCACCGTCTACTACCTACTACTACTTTCAAACACGTACATGTATCGATTGAACGAATTGTGATGATTTTGATTTTAACAGTTGGAAGAAGAATCGTGAACCCTACTTGTGGCTTCTTATTCAACGGAGGAACATCTGGCGCTAGATCATTTGATGACTACGTTGAGCCCGGTTACGTGAATTACTACAGAATTAGTCCTAACTACTTCTTGGGTAACAATGACAACAGAAGAATCAGGGTCAGTCGCACAAGCGGTGGCATTGGAGGTCTCGTGGTCTGCCACTCCCGAACTGTTGAACAGCCCAGGTAACATACATAACTTAAGCCCGTTTTATTTTTCGAAGTAGATAGTATTCTCCTTGCTTTCGAGATGAAGCCCTCAAGTTTCGTCATTTGTTATATCTCCTTATATAGTAAACCGTGCAAAAAAAATGTGCAATTATTGGAATTTTCCTTATGATTCCTGAATACTTATTTTGACTGAACCGTGAATTCAACTTCATATTTTTACTCTAGGCACGAGGCGGTCAGTCATGTATAACAGGTTTATCGAATGATAACGTTGCCTGCTCTTGATAAGCTAACACACATTTATGATTGCCGGATTCCGTATTATCTTTTTCTACGAATTGTTTTCACATTGTACTAGAATAATCAGGAATAGTCACACACTTTCGAGAAACAGAAAGTTGTTGAGATAAAGAGTACGGATGTAAACAGCGGAACTAAGGGCGAAAGTCTAAGTGGCAATGGGTCATACTTGGAATTGTCTCAGTCATATATTGTCGCGATGTTATAATAACTCCAACCCTGGCCATGAAATTGTCATTCCGTTGATTGATATTGCCGCCCATGGATCTTCCAAGGGTGGCGCTCACTGCTTATTGGATATTTTTCCACTTTTTTGATCCCCAAAACCTTAAAAACAAAGGAATTGATTTTTTTTTTATAAATGTGTGATTATTCTTTTTAGACGTGACAACTCTACAGTTCTAATTGAAGGCAGTGAAAATAACCCGATAACGTGCCAAGCTTTGAATTCTGGCAACGTGGAAATCGGCATGCAATACCTGTGTGATGGATGGGATAATGCCAACTCTTGTCCACCGTTCTACATGTCGGTAGAGTCTGATACCGGTCTCACAGCGGGAAGTCTCTCGTCTGCTGCGTGCACAGGTAATATGAACCACTATAATTCACATAATAATACAACTGATTGCACTATTGGCAAGTTAATAAATATCAAGTGTGTCACGTTAACATACACCACGGTTTCACAGGAAAACAGCGTAAAAACAACCACAGCATTGTGTTTCGCCATATGAGTGAAGTTACCGATGTCCGTAACCAATCTTAGGGGAAGGATTGGTTACGGACATCGGTATCCCCTCATCATCTTTCCTCGAATACCTGATCCCCAAAAGGCCAGCAACGCAATCTTTTAAGAGTATTTTGTTACACATACGCTAGACGCTGATTTTAAATGTTCCCCCAAACTTTATTTTTCCAGATGCCAACTGCAGATTCCCATACAACATCAGGTATTCAATACAAGTGGATGAGCTGGGATGTTTCAATGGAGCTAGCAGCGTGACCGCCAGCTTCCTCGTCCTACTCACCGCCTTATATCTTACTTTATATGGTTCATAATTAGTTGTAAACATTACAATTAAACCTACCGATTATTTTTAATATTTTTTGTAGTTAGATAACAAATTAAATGACAGTTTCATGCATTTCAAACCCAGATTTCATAAATGAATTATGTATTTATTAGGTTTAATTCTTTTTTAATGTTATCAGGTATATGAGTACGAGTTAGTAGGTATCTATTTAAGATTAAAGTCTAAAATATAAATATATCTACTTATGTTATATTGTGTAAGTTCACATTATTTTTGTTTCAATTAAATAATACACAGGGTACAAACAACTTTAATATGTTTTGTTTTGTTGATTCATTTAATTATATAATCAATACTAATAGGGTTGCGTAATTTTTTCGACGCCTAGTTTTCTATACTTATATAATCTTTCGAACAAAGTTCACATACCTATCTACCAAATATGCTTTCTTTGTAACATGTTTATATAAATAGAGAATTTAATATATAAAATATAGATTAGGTGTAATGTGTTAAAGTGATAGTTTTCGATTCTGTTATGTTGTACAAACAAAGTATTGTATTTTGTTTTCGTTTTTTACCAATAAATAAATAGTGATACCTACCTAAAATTGTTTTATTTTGAAATAACTTCTATCGTAACTTCGTCTGTGCGGGACATGACAGCGAGATACCCTTGCTCGCCATCCACAGACCCGCGCCTGTGGAGGCCGTCACATTATCGTCACATTATCATTTATCTAAAAAGTATCAGGAATTAATATCTTCAGAGAGAAAACGTAAAACTAAAAAAATAAAAGCCTACTTAGAAGATAGTCAGGCTTGGGAATGAGCCGCTGTAACTTCTGCACAGGTCATGTTGACATGTTTGTAACATAAGTTACGCTTTTTATATACAATTTGACATTACGTTTATTATTATTTTTTAATAGTGAGATTATCACCTATTGTGACATTTTTATTTTTATTTGACATTTTTTATTTTATTTTTATAATTATTTATTGACATTATTATTATTTTCTAATAGTGACACTATTAGAAAATAATAATAATGATAAAAATAATAAACACTATTATAGTGTTAGTGTAAGGACCGTGTGAGACTTGCCGCGCTTTTGGACTACCAGTTATCTGCGTTTTGACAGTTTGAGTACTTGCGCGACCCAACCAAATGTTCTTTAGATCGGTATTGTTCGTCGGACAACTCAGCAGCACTTGCTATGCTGGTTGCAAACTGACACTTGCGTGCCTGTCTTCAGAACGGGTCCACTTAACTGGTGTGGTTCTTTCATCAAAAGACCACTACAGAATGAACTTGCACGGTTCTCTCACATTATGTTATTTTAACATTGTCTGGACTTGAAAAGTGACTGACCTCTGAGTTTGTTTCGGCATTTCTTCTCATAGTAGTCAGATAGGAAATGCCGGCTTCATCTAGTTTTAGATGAAGCCGGCATGGCTTCATCTAGTTTTTCACATATACCTAAATTAACGTGTAAAAGTGCCGTTTTATGGCCTATTTGCAATAATAAATTCATTGTTTCATTGTTTCATATAAAAATTTATATGTTCAATGAGCGTAGGTAGATATATTATTTATTTAGTTTTAGTTTAGTGATTACCTATACTGTTTTACAACGTGTTCAAAAAATGTTCGTTCGTTCGCAAAATGGAACGTAACCGGATCTAGATGACGTTACAACAAGCGTTCACAAAGTAAACTGCACAGTAAATAGTTACAAAAAAATTGAAACATTTAGGGTCATTTGAAATAAATAGATAAATGCAAATAAAAATTTGATTACATATAAATTTACAAAGCATATATTTAAAATACTAAACGCGTTTGTATAGAACGTAAAAATTGCATCTCATTTAATATTAAATCCAAAGCGAACTTCGTAGACTATACTTAAACGTCAAAGTTGAAGTAAATAAAAACAAAGTGACTTGGGAATACTAACTAATTTTCAATAAATTTCTTTTTAAATCATAAAATGTCTGGAGAAGACTGTGATGCTTTTGATCGAGGAGACAATGACGGGCAGAAGCCAGACAAGATGTTTACTTTGAAAAAGTGGAATGCAGTTGCCATGTGGAGCTGGGATGTGGAGTGTGATACTTGCGCTATTTGCCGCGTCCAAGTTATGGGTAAGTTGCTATAAGTTTGTGCAGTAATAAGCGATAATTACATAAAATTTCCTGAACTATGTGTCTACTGCCCGTCAACAATTTTAGTTGACCAAAAATTCTAATCTACCTACATGTTTACATGCACTAATTGTTGTTGTCGTATGACAATGTTTTGTATGAATGTTACGTTTTATTTAAGCTGGGAGCTAAGAGGGTAATTTAGAGTTCTTTTGGAATAATCTTTTACTGTTCATCAATGTTTTTCTGCTGTTTGCCAAAAAATCATACAAAATCAAATTGTCTTATGTGCCAAATCTGATGTTCCATGGAACCAACAATAAAGCAAGGAAACATGGTTATAATTTTATAAATTGTAGTATATATATTTATACAGTAATATATTATATAGTAATATACTTATACTCTTTTTATTGATTTAAATATTTTATCATTATCATTAGGCTAGTCATGGTTGTCTAAGTGATGTTACTATTGAGAAATATTTTTTTATTTGTTAGTCTGGTTAGGTTATCCACTGCCCTTGAAAAACCAAAGCAGACCATCAATAAAATATTTGTAAGTTTTAGTTCTTTTTGTGACCCACCACAAATTTTTGCAGAAAAAAAAATTCATAACTGGTTAATCCATCAAACCCCAAGGGAATGCCGGCATTCATACACTTATCGTCTTACTATTGTATCTCATATGATTACCACAATTGGAAGGTTAATAAATGTGATTATACTTATGAAACTTCCTTTTCAGTCATTCTATGTTTTAAAAAAACAACCTAAAAAACCTTGGCATAGTTATAAACATTTTAGTATACAGAGGAAAATAAGGACAAAGAAAGTGACTTTGTTTGATACTATGTAGTGATAGTAATCTAAAGCAATATCAAGGGGTGGATCCATTGAAACCAATTAAAAATTTCGAGTTAATTAGATAGGAAAAAGAATTTAAGTATTTAATTTAATTTTTCTGAACCTGACAAATTGCAAATAAATAACCAAAAGTATTGCATAATTGGTTTTAAATTTGAAGATGTTAGTTGGTTTTTGCTGATGTTTTCAGACCTACATGAAGTATGTTATGTTAACATAAGACTGCTTACAATATAAACATATGGCTATTGTTCTATATTTTTAATACTATTTATGCTGCATGGGTTTTCATATGCAAATATTTAAATCAAACATCATGAAAACTATTAAACTGAATTTGTAAAAACCTTAACATTGTGGTGGCCCAGATGTTGAAGCCCACTTCTCGTGCATGAGCATGCGGCTTCGAATCCTGGCAAGTACTAATGTGGGTTTTTTTCCAAGTTTTATGTATTTTCTATGATTAATTAGACACCACTGACAAATGGTGAAGGACAACATCGTGAGTATCCCTCGACTTATAATTATTAATTATTATTTTGAAATTGCCAATCCGCCTTGAGCAAGTGTGGTGATTAATGCTGAAACCTCCTTGTTGAAAGAGGCCTTTGCTCAGCAGTGGCCACATAAAGGCTGATTATGTATGTATGATGTGGGAAAAACCTGGCTAAACATGTGTTTATTACTAATATAAAATGTCTCAAGATCAAAAAAAAATTGCGATTTTATATTTCTATGGAAACTTAATATAAAAACTTCCATTCTCACTTAACTATTTTTCGTAAAAATAAACACATCCATTCTCACTAAACTATTTTTCGTAAATTAGCCCACTTAAGTTACAAACTTTTACTTCTGTTAATGTTAAAATTGAAATTAATTTTCGTAAGTTTACTTTATTAAGTAACAAAGTGACCATGATAAATTACCTATCTTTATGCATTAATACCAAAATCAATTTAGCAGTTACCATAAGTATTGACTTAAAAGTTAGTTAGTATGAAACCCGTTCAACAAAAACCACTTTTAAAATAAAAAAACTAAGCAGCAAAAAGAAAAACTTTTCTTGCATAATAAATAAATATAATAGCCTAGTTACGGGTACAAATAAAACATTTTTATCTAAAAAATAAAATGTATTTAGCTTAACTAAAAACATAATCTAATACTTAAAAAATAGCAGTATTTGGTAGAACAGAATGCTTAGTTTACAATAGAAATAAATTAAAAACAAATATATTTACATTAAGTAGGTTGCTTACAATATTTGATTGGTTACATAACTTTCTTGAGAAATATTACTTGAATGTAAGTTACATAATTAAACGAAATCCAAAATTATTTTAGAGTTTTTACTATTATCAATATTTTATAACATTTTTAGACGACTCCAAAAAAACCCTTTATTAAAATTTTTAAATGAATCACATTCCATTGTAGTAAAAAAAGTGGCTTTACAATTTTGAAAAACCAATTATAATGTTAAGATAGCTCAACATTCACAACCAAAGTTAAGTCTTCCTAATGACTAACATCCACTTGGTAATGGTTTAATGTTCGCAATAGAACTCATTCTTCGCGTTCTCGTGCTGCCTCTACCAGAAAGTTTGTTTTCAATCTGTTCTAGACTCTTTCCTCTTGTTTCTGGAACAAACACGACAACGAAGAAAAGTCCAACAAAACATATACACCCGAACAACCAAAACGTGCCGGCCGGTCCTATGCCGACCAAGATATTGTGAAACGTTTTAGTTACCGTGAACGTACATAACCAATTAAACGCAGTACAAATTGAAGCAGCGCCTCCTCTTATTTTTGCCGGTAAAATCTCACCCATCATTAACCATGGAATAGGACCAAAAGCTAAAGAGAAACCCAACAAGTAAACCATTATGCAAGTCAATGGTATCCACCCTAGGGTAGATACATCTATTTTCATGTCAGTTTGTACGTAGAAGAATGTTCCGAGAACTACTAAAGTAATAGTCATCGTTACCGAAGATATGTAAAGCAGTACTTTGCGTCCCGCACGATCTATGAGTGCAGTGGCAATAAACGTTGACACAAAGTTAACCACTCCTACAATAATAGTCGCCAAATTACCAT